AGGACAGAATTTACTCAATAGTTGATTATTGAAATAGCTACGATACTTCAACTGAAGGATCTGCAAGCATCTTAACATCTTAACATCCAACAGAAAAAGCCTTTTCTTTTATAGAAAGGAGTAAGCAGGGATCACAAAAACTTTGTTGGGGAATGTGGTCTGTGGTAGGAGTAAGAAAGAGGCAAAACAAGATGCTGCAACAGGAAATGTTTTTTCTGTCATCAACCAATTCTGTAGAGAGCTGCTAAAAGGGAATGTTGTGCATTTAGTGCTTGCCCAGACTTAGGACAAGCCAAAGTTGAAGGGGCTTGTGGGGAAGAGAGAACCCTACCATTTGGCCAGGTTAAGACTTCACAGGTCAGTGGATAGTAAAAAACTTTTTTAAAAAGCCTATCCCCAAGAAACTATAAAGTGGAATAACAACAGAAGACTTTTTGACAATATCCATCGTACATCAGCCAAAGAATAACTGAGAAAGCACATTGCCTTCCTCCGGTTTCAGCAGAGCTGAGCAAGAAGTTCACTTTGTTCACCCACTTAAGATAAAAACAAACAAAAGCTCTCAGAACATTAGGAATAAAGCAGAACTTCCTGTATCCAATTAAGAAAACCTCTACACAAAATCTACTGGTAATATAATACTTAATAATCCGGCCACTTCAGTAAGCAAGAAAAAGACATAGAATATATACAGATTGAAAAGGAAGAAATAAAACCAACCATTTGTAGATGATAAATATCTACATAGAGACTTGCAAGCAATCTGCAAAAGAACTCCTAGGATCAATAAGTGATTTCTGCAAGGTCACAGGATATAAGATAAACACAGGAAACCCATAATATTTCCATATATTAACAATAAACATGGTACTTTAAATAAAAATACCTTACCACTACATCACTCTAAAGGAAACAAAATTCTTCGATTTAGCAATATAAGTATAGTGCATGTATAGAATGTCCTATGCACATGGTGGAGATGTCAGTTCTTTCCAAATTGATCTACAGGTTTAACATTGTATCTAATAAAATCTCAGCAAGATTTTATAGGTATAGAAGGTTATTCTAGAATTTATATGGAAAAGCACAGGCCCTATGACAGTAAAAATAATCTTGAAAAAACAGAATAAAGTGACAGTAATGACTCTATCCAAAATTATGTAGTTTAAGTAATCCAGTTGATATGTTACTGACAGAGAGATAAACACATAAATCAATGGCACAGAACAGAGGATCTAGAAGTCGACCCATACAATATGCACATCTGTTGTCTGAGAAATGTGCAAATCTAGTTCAATGGAGGAAGGACAACCTTTCTATATATAGTGTTGAAGCAAATGGACATCCTTGAAACAAAGGAAGGAGTAAGGAAAGAAACAAGCAAGAAAAGGGAAGGGAGGGAAGGAAGACAGAATTCAAGGAAGGGAGGGAGGAAGGAAAGGAGTCTGACACCTTAAACAACAGTAAACCAAAATGGATCATAGACTTAAGCAAAAAAATAAAACTTAAATATTGTTAAGGAAAACTCATAAGAGAAAATATTTAGGATCTAGCATTAGGTAAAGAGTTCTTAAATTTGATTCTAAAAATATGATCTTTAAAATGAAAGATTAGTAAATTAGACCACATTAAAATTCAAACCTCTTTCTCTGTAAGAGTTCCTTTTAAATAAATAAAAATAACCAGTCTCAAAAGGTTATATATTGATTCCACTTGAGTTAACAATTTTGAGTGAGAATATTTTTAAGGCAGAGGAGAGAGCAATAGTTGCTTAGGATTGGAGGATATGTAGGACCATGTGGAAAGAGCTGTACAAAGGCAATGAGAGAGATCATTGTGGTTCTGGAAATGGTCCAATATCCACTATGGTGGTGGGACACGGGCCTAAACATGATAGAATTATAGAGAGCACACACACACATGAGTACAAGCAAAACTGAGGTGATGTGTCAGTAGTCTGACTAAGATGTGAAACTATAGCTTTTTAAACTGCTTACCATTAAGGAAAAATGTATATTGATCCCTATATTTCTTATAACAGTAAGTAAATCTAGTTATTCAATAAAAATTTCAATTACAGAGAAAATAGTCTCAGAGTTTTGAGTGGTGATATTTCATACATAGTATTACAATTAGTAGAAAAGGGACATTTGACTTCTAATTACAATGAGACAAAAATAATGATGGTAAACATTAACAATAACAGAAAAGAACTTCTGTCTAGAGAGCAGCCTTTGCCATTTCTGTCTTCGGGAAAATTTTTGTCCTGCAGAAAGGCAGAATTACAATTTTTCCCTAACAGACTGAGTTGGCATAGTGTATTCCTAGAGCTCAAAATACCCATGTAGATGTGGGATTTTGAGTTGGTGAGTATTCACAAAGTGTGGCCGAGCACGACACAGACCATGTGGTCTCAGTTACATAAAATGAACTGTTCATTCACACAGGATTTAGGACATTCCAACTGAACTGCTTGTGATTATGGGTGACTTCATTCTTTGCTTTTTGTGTGTTTGTTTCCTGTAATGCACATGTTAACATTTTTTAAAAAGGTTATTTTAAAAAACAAAAACTGAAAGAAAAGAAGAAACCAAGTTACTCATTCACTGCTGGTGGGAACGCAGAATGGTGCAGATGCTCTGAAAAACAACTTGTCTGGTCCATTTCTCATTAAGTTAAACATGCAACTAGCATACAACCCAGCAATTGCTTCCTAAGGAGAAATGAAGGCTTATGTTTGTACACAAACCTGCACCTGAATCTTTAGAGAAGTTTCATTTGTAACAGCTAAAAACTAAAAGCACATCCTATATCCTTCAGCAGGTAGACAGTTAAACAAAATGTGATAATATATACCATGGAATAATACTCAGCATTCAAAAGGCATGAACACTTGATACATACGACAACTCGATGACTCTCCAGATAACTACACTAAGTGTAAAAAGCAATCCCAAAGGCTAAATCATGAATAATCGTGTATATTTTAATATTTCTTAAATTTGAAAAGTCAAAAATGGAGACAAAATTTGTAGTTGTGGCAGGAGAATAGTGGGTATGGCTCAGCAGGAGGAACCTGGTGACAGTGAAGATATTATCTTGACTTCATCAGTGTTGATACCTGGGCTGAAGTACTGGAGTATGTTGGCAAGATATTGCCATGGAAGAAACTGGACAAAATGGACATAAGGTCACCCTGTGTTCCTTCTTGAAACTTCATGTGAAGCTACAATCTTAAATTTGGAAGTTAGATTTAAAAAAAAGAATTCATCTTTTTCTTCAGGAAAAAAATTAGGAAAAGCCTGTCCCCTGGGGATACAGGCTGTAGATTAAGCTTTAAATTTTTTCCAGCCTTTCCCAACAGAAAGATGTCCAGGTGCAGGTGTCCAATGAATACCTTACAAACATAGTTTCTGTTTAATAAGAACTGCATATGGCAAGTTGAGTTAAAAGCTTGTTGGGAGAATGGCTGACTCTTCTCCCTGTGGGCTCTATGGTCACCCCTTCCAGCTCAATTGTGAGTCTTCTAGAATGCCAGTTTCTGATATCCAAAGATGAAGTGCACATTGTCAAAACTTCCCAATGTCAATACTCAAAGTTCCATACCTTTATATAAAGTTCAGAAACTATCTAACTTCTTTGCTGGAGAAAGGAGAGACAGACATAGTTGTTCTTAGCAAATCATAACCCCCAGAACAGCTCACAATTGAGCCATTTCCAACAAAAAATCCTAACTCACCCAGCACTCTTTGAAAGTCTAAAGTAGTTCTTTCTTCAGATTATGCCTTGATATAATCAATGGTCAAATTAAGCAGGAATGGAAAATATAGACTTCAATCTCTCAATCTCTCTCTCTCTCTCTCTCTCTCTCTCTCTCACACACACACACACACACACACACACACACACACACACACTCAGAGGTGCCAGGATCCAGGTGCAATTGTCTTTACATAAGAGCCACTTCTTCAACAAATCTAGGAACTCAGTAACTGACTCAATTTTAATCCACTTTATATGCATGCATTTTCCTTTTAAACTTTTAAAATTGTGAGTTCCACTTGCTTCACCAAATAAACATCAATCAGAGTTCAGCTTAGCCCAGAAGATACTGGCAGACACCTAAAGTCACATTAGGAGAAAACAACTCTAACCTGAGAAGAGAAGTTGGTACTAGGACCTCCTATCTTTCAGCAATCTATTAGATACAGAATTTGGCAACATCAATTATGAGAGGAAAAAATGCAAAAATTAAAAGGTTTTCATGCATTAATAAAAATGTTAAAGCAAACTTATTACCAATGATGATTAAGTGAGGGTTTTTATCTACTTTTTCCTTAGGTGTCAGAAAATTGCAGCAAAAGAGTGTACCATAAGCATCAATTCTTAAATGTGATTGGCAACTTTCTTATTCTCAGCTTACAGATTCTGTGTTACCGTTGTCCCTTAGTATGTGGGGGATTGTTTCCAGGACCCCTGTTGATACCAAAATCCATGGATGCGCAATCTCCTTATGTAAAATGGCACAACATTTGCATATAACCTGCGCACATCCTGCTGTACACTTTAATTATCTCTAGATGATTTATAGTACTTAATACAATGTAAAAGCTAAGTAAGTAGTTGTTGTACTGTATTTTTTAGGGAATAATAACAAGAAAAAGGTGTGTACATGTTCAATACATACATGCAATCTATTTCCAAATATTTTTTATCCACAATTGGTTGAATCTGAAAATGCCCAATTCACAATATAGAGTGCCAATTGTTTGATTTAGACATGTTAAGCTCCCCAAAAATGTTGCAAAAATTGAATTTATATAAGACTACTGAGTAGAAAATCAAGGAAGATATTTTTCAGCACAACATAGAGAACCTATCTGACATTCCTCAGAATTGCAAGATCAGGAACTACCCAACTAGATGAAAACTAGCATAGTGAGATCTATAGAGCTTTCCACCATGGTGGATGACCCCCTTACTCGCCAAAGCTTATCATCCTATTTCTGCAACTTCAGCCTGGACAGAGCCTCCCTCAGAGCCTGGTGCACCTGCTTGTTTCTCAGGGTATAGATGACAGGGTTCAGCAGGGGTGTCACCACAGTGTTCACAAGGGCAGCCTCTCTGTTGGAGTCCAACCTGCTTCTTTGCTTTGGTTTAACATATATAAAGACACAACTGCCATACATCAGAGAGAGGACAATGAGGTGAGAGGAGCAAGTGGAAAAAGCTTTCTGCCTCTCCTTGGCTGACGGGAGACGCACAATTGTGACTACTATGTTGCCGTACGCAATGATGGTGATGATGAAGGATGTAAAAATGATCAACATAGCGAGACAAAAAGCCAGCATTTCAAGAGATCTGGTGTCAGAACAGGAGAGATGAATTAAGGAGCCAAAGTCACAAAAGAAGTGAGGGATGACATTGGAGCCACAAAAGGATAACCGGGAAAGCTTCAGAACCAGACCAGTGATGAAGATGAAAGCCAAAGTATAGCAGAAGACAACCAGAAGGAAACAAACCCTCAAGCTCATGATGGTTGGGTATCGTAGAGGCTTGCAAATGGCCTGGTATCGATCCAAGGACATCACAGCCATGAGGAAGAAAATCGTTGACCCAAGAAATAAAAAAGAAAACGCTTGTGCAAGACAAGAAGTAAAGTGAATTGTCTGAGGTCCCAAAAGAAAGATGGACAGCAGTTTAGGAATAACTGTGGTGATGAAGCAGCATTCACAGAAGGAGAAACTGCTGAGAAAGAAGTACATAGGAGTCTGGAGGCGATGGTCAGCCCAGGTGATGGTGATTATGAGTGTGTTTCCTGTGATGGAGGCCAAGTATGCCACCAGGTGCACCAGGAAGAGGACATTCCCCAGGTGCTGGACAGCAGGAAAGCCCTCCAGGGCAAACTCTGGAACTGTTGTCCCATTCCTTATCTCCACAGTCATCTCTGTTTGTCTGTCTGTCCTCAACTCTATGTGATCTGTTAGACAGAAAACACTGTTACCAAAGAATAAGATGGGCACTATTAAAAAACATTGCTTGCAGTGTTTTCTATCTTTTAAATACCTCATTATAAATTATTGGAGATTTTCCAATTGTTAAATTGCAAGTGTTGATTATTTATTTTTAGTTTTGCTTTTATTACTGTTTTGTTATTTGTGTGTGTATATGGAATAGATACAGCTTAAATTTTGTGGAACATAGTATCTTTGAATAATACTTAATAAGGTGAATAATACAAAATTTAAGTCATTGTTTGCTGACAAAATATATAATTGGAGGTCACAACAAAGGCTATCATCCTACAGAAAATTTTCTTTCAATGAATCACAGTGCCAGTTTCTACACTTCAGGTAGGACATGCATTCTATGAAGCCCTCCTATAGGCTGACTTGAGTCCTCTTAAAATTCAGAGCAGAAGGATATCATGTTCCTACTGTCATGTTCCAACCCCTAGCCTTAGTTCTTTACCCAAGTCTGTATTATAGAATCTCATAACAACCCAGTACACTGATTTAAGAAAAACTCTGGGAGAAAATTGTTACATGGCCTCATTGTTCTGGCTCAGCGAATAAACACCCAGGGGATAAATCTGTATCTCTTGTGTTCTGCCAACCTGACAGAACAGACGTGTTTTTTTCTGTGTTCCTCATAAATTATCCATCAGCATTCCCTTTTCTGTGAACATTATTGTTATATTGGAAGATCCTGATGTGCTTATAATCAGGTCACTGGAGAAACCTTGCTATTTTGAAGCCACTAGCTAGCTGGAAAGCATTTACTCTATAGGAAAGGAGTCAGGAATCTGTGAGAAATCAGTGCTCTATGAATGAGTCCCCATAATTAAATTGTGTTTAATTCCTTGATTTTGCTAAACTTATTGTGTTAACTGTACATGACCTATAATGCTAGCTAAACAAAATCAATTTCTGGTTTAAATATTTGACTCATATAATTTCAAATCATCCCCATGGCCAAGTACTCACCAAAACGTAGCTCATAGGAAACAGAGTTTCTTTGATTATGTGTTTCTTTATTCTTTCAACAAACCAGGATCTTTCTTCTAAGTTAAAGGAAAGAAAAAGGGGCACTCTTACTTGAGATCTACCTATTTTTGACTTATAAAACAGTCAGTTATGCCTTGTGTCTTAATAGAAAACTATTAAGATTGTTTTTAAGGAAGACAAAGATATATAAACTCTGGAAAACCAACACTCATAGTTTTCCCTTATGACAATCTGATTGATAACTCCTAGACCATTAGACAATAAAAAATTGCCCCAAATCCGCTCTTGCATTTGTTGCTGTAACTGCTTACAATTTCTGAACCTATTCATATTCATTCTATGAGAGATAATACCATGTTTATTCCACAGGATATATGCATGTCCTATGGGGAGTGATAACATAGTCTTTCAGGAATGTCAAACCTGATTCATTGTGGATCCATCGCAAAACAGACTCAGGAAAGAAGACAAAAGTGGAATTTCCTTGCTCGTGGACCCTATTAGCCACTTCCTATCAACTTCTTGTGCCCATCTTTCTGAGTAGGTGAGGCTCATTGCAGTAATAAATGACAGCATATTTAAAGGTCCTTATGATGTATGACCACAGGGTTATTTACAATCTCCAGTGAGCTCAAACAGGGTCTAAGGAACAAACCCCCATAACATTCATTAAAGGAGTATGTGAAACAGGAGGAAGAATAAAATCACAGCCTATTCTCAGGAGACATTGTTGGAAAACTTTAGTAGAAATGCAGATGGCAACATACGGCCCAGTTCTCAGTCATCTACATGGTCCTCTGAGAGTCTTCAGAGGGAGACTTTGCATGGCTGTCCCAAGGGTTAGAATATTGTAAAGAAAGGCAGGCTCACACATCAGAAGCACTTTTTGACAATTAAATTGCTGGGAGTGGGGGAATGTCTTCACTATTTTCTTTCTTTCTTTTCTTAACCTGGTATTTTCTTAGCTGGGCCCTGGTGGCTCATGCCTGTAATCCTAGCTACTCAGGAGGCAGAGATCAGGAAGATTCCAGTTCGAAGTCAGCCCAGGCAAATAGTCCATGAGACCCTATCTCGAAAAATCCCATTACACAAAAAAACCTGGTATTTTCTTTATTGAGATAGAACTTATATTATATATATACATATATGTATATGTACACATATATACACACATACATAGCGCCCAAATCTTAAGTGCACAAATTGGTTTTGTTACATATATATAAACAGCCATGTAACCACTGCTCAAATCCAACCACAAAGCTCTCCTTCTCACCAGAATGTTCCGCTGCCCTTCATAGCTCACTCCCAAAGAAAACAATTACATTAGTTTCTATCACTGAAACTTACTCTAACTATTCTTGAGCAGAACACAATATGTTTTTTCTTGCCTGGCTTTAGTTTTGCTGTTCCCCATGAGTCTGAGTCTTCTTCATTCATATATCAGTGGTCAGTTATTTACACTGCTTTGTAGTACCCATGGTATACCTGCACCCTTCTCCCTTTGAGGGACATTTGTATTATGAGCAAAGCTGCTATGGATATTCTTATTCAAGTCCTTTTGATGACCTAAGGATTTATTTCTCTTGGGTAGATGATTTAGAGTGAAAGTCCTGTATAATACAATAGGTTTTAATAGGATAAGAAGTGACAGAACAGATTCCAAAATTGGATTTATGTTCTCAGCAGTAATACGTAAGAATTCAAATTGCCCCACATTCTCTTGTAAGTTGCTTTTAACTGGAGGCCTTCTGCCCAGCATCTAGCTGTGCTGTGTGTGCATGCAAGTACGCTAGGACCCATACCACTGAGCTACACCCTAGCCCCCCAGTGGCATCTCATTTTGGTTTTTCCTCGCATTTTTCTAGCAGTACTAATGTTGAACATCTTTCCATATACTTATTGACCATTTAAAATTTTTTGTGAAGTGCCAGTTAAAGTCTTTTACCCATTTTGCCACGTTTTTTCTTTACCCTTAAGAGTTCTTCATATAGTCTGGATATGGTCTATATCAGAATTGAGAATATTTGCTCCCAGTCTGTGGCATGATATTTAATTTTTTTCAGACAGTATCTGACTGTGTTGCCCCAGCTGGCCCCAAAATTGTATCCTCTTGACTCAGACTCCCAAGTGCTGGGATTACAGATGTATGTCACCATGCCCATTTCTTCATTTTTACATTTTTTATGAAGTTTTTGGGTGGATGGAATATTTTTTAACTGGATGAAGTCCAATATATCAAGTTTTACTTTTGTGGTTAGAGTTCCATATCCTGCCCAGGAAATCATCACCCACCCTCTAGATAACAGAAATATCCTGCTCTCTTCTAAAAGCTTCTAGGTTTTGACCTTCATGTATAACTCTATAATCCACCACTAATTAATGCTTTGTGCACCATCAGAAGTACACATGAATGTTTCCATGGAGATTTTCAGGTGCTCCAGCAACATTCTGAGAGGTCTTTTTACCATAAGTGTATTGATGCTGCATCAAAATTACATTACAAACGTTGCTCTGTTCCTTCTCTCTCTTCTGCTACTTCGCATCATTACACTAATATTATAGCCTCAATTAATGTACTTGAAAAGCATTTCTTCTTCCTCCTCAATTTCAAAAGGGGTCTTGTGGTTGGTTGGCATTATCTGAAATACTTACCAAGCCTTGACTCAATATTTGACAAAACTCACCAGTGAAGCCTGCTGCTTTCTTCTCAGGGATATTTTGCTATTTCAATTTTCAATTTTCTATTTCTTTTTCTGTTAACTGGATGACTTGTATCATATAAGGAAATAGTCTGTTCCATCTTAGTTAACAAGTTTATTAGAATAAATTCAATTATATCAATACATTATGGTGCTTTAAACATCTGTAGGAGTTAGGGTGTTGTACCCTTTCATTCTTTTTTTTAATTAATATAGTTAGTTTATTTAATGCTTCAATAACCCTTTTTTATTGATATTACTATCATCAAGTAATTTAATGCAATTGAGAAAGGAACAAGAAACTTCAAAATCATCAAGCAGATTAGGAAAAGAACCAAACAAAACTTCTTAAAATAAAAAAATACAGTGATTGGAATTAAAGTTGCAGATAAAGCAAGTGTTGCCTGCAGTATACTTTGGAAAGTCAGAACAGAAGTGTATAGACAATCCTGCACTTGGGGGTTTTCTTCTTTTTTTTCTTTTATTATTCATATGTGCATACAAGGCTTGGGTCATTTCTCCCCCCTGCCCCTACCCCCTCCCTTACTACCCACTCCTCCCCTCCCTCTCCCCCCCACCCCCTCAATACCCAGCAGAAACTATTTTGCCCTTATTTCTAATTTTGTTGTAGAGAGAGTATAAGCAATAATAGGAAGGAACAAGGGTTTTTGCTGGTTGAGATAAGGATAGCTATACAGGGCGTTGACTCACATTGATTTCCTGTGCGTGTGTGTTACCTTCTAGGTTAATTCCTTTTGATCTAACCTTTTCTCTAGTTCCTGGTCCCCTTTTCCTATTGGCCTCAGATGCTTTTAAGGTATTTGCTATAGTTTCTCTGCATTAAGGGCAACAAATGCTAGCTAATTTTTTAGGTGTCTTACCTATCCTCACCCCTCTCTAGTGTGCTCTCGCTTTTATCATGTGCTCAAAGTCCAATCCCCTTGTTGTGTTTGCCCTTGATCTACTGTGCACATATGAGGAAGAACATACGATTTTTGGTCTTTTGGGCCAGGCTAACCTCACTCAGAATGATGTTCTCCAATTCCATCCATTTACCAGCGAATGACAACAGTTCATTCTTCTTCAACTGCATAAAATTCCATTGTGTATAGACACCACATTTTCTTGATCCATTTGTCAGTAGTGGGGCATCTTGGCTGTTTCCATAACTTGGCTATTGTGAATAGTGCCACAATAAACATGGGTGTGCAGGTGCCTCTGGAGTAACCTGTGTCACAGTCTTTTGGGTATATCCCCAAGAGTGGTATTGCTGGATCAAATGGTAGATCAATGTTTAGCTTTTTAAGTAGCCTCCAAATTTTTTTCCAGAGTGGTTGTTCTAGTTTACATTCCCACCAAGTGTAAGAGGGTTCCTTTTTCCCCGCATCCTCGCCAACACCTGTTGTTGGTGGTGTTGCTGATGATGGCTGTTCTAACAGGGGTGAGGTGGAATCTTAGCGTGGTTTTAATTTGCATTTCCTTTATTGCTAGAGATGGTGAGCATTTTTTCATGTGTTTTCTGGCCATTTGAATTTCTTCTTTTGAGAAAGTTCTGTTTAGTTCACATGCCCATTTCTTTATTGGTTCATTAGTTTTGGGAGAATTTAGTTTTTTAAGTTCACTATATATTCTGGTTATCAGTCCTTTGTCTGGTGTACAGTTGGCAAATATTTTCTCCCACTCTGTGGGTGTTCTCTTCAGTTTAGAGACCATTTCTTTTGATGAACAGAAGCTTTTTAGCTTTATGAGGCCCCATTTATCTATGCTATCTCTTAGTTGCTGTGCTGCTGGGGTTTCGTTGAGAAAGTTCTTACCTATACCTACTAACTCCAGAGTATTTCCTACTCTTTCCTGTATCAACTTTAGAGTTTGTGGTCTGATATTAAGATCCTTGATCCATTTTGAGTTAATATTGGTATAGGGTGATAAACATGGATCTAGTTTCAGTTTTTTGCAGATTGCTATCCAGTTTTCCCAGCAGTTTTTGTTGAAGAGGCTGCTATTTCTCCATCGTATATTTTTAGCTCCTTTGTGAAAGACAAGTTGGTTATAGTTGTGTGGCTTCATATCTGGGTCCTCTATTCTGTTCCACTGGTCTTCATGTCTGTTTTTGCCCTTTCATCCTTGATGCAGAATTTTCTTGCCATTATTTCTTCATCAGTCTTACTAAGAAGGTAACAATTCTACAAGTCACTTCAAAGAATGAAAATTTGCTTTATTTTTCATTTTGGTTGAATTTCACTTATTAATCTATATGATATGTTCATGCAAACTTAAATGCTTACTTCAAGTTTAATTTCCTTTTCTTACCTTTTAAATTTAGAAATTAATTCATTTTAAACTTTTTCATACAATAGCATTACTCTAGCTTTCTCTAAATTTTGATATTTTCTACTTTTGTGAAAAATATTTTCAAATTCCTTGATAATATTTTCTCCAATTCAAGTGCTTTAGAGTTATTTATAGCCAAATATTAAGGGTCTCCCAGATGATTAGTTATTATTGGTTTCTTGTTTAATCTAATTTAATTATTTTTACTCCTTTGAAGTGTTTCAAGATTTGTTCCAAAGCCCAGCATAAGTTTTCCCTCATTGAAATTCCCATATGCACTTGAGAATGATGTGCGTTCTGCAGAGGTTAAATGAAATAATTTAAAATTATCAACTAAGCCCACTTACTTGACAGAGTTGTATCAGTCTGTACCCTTACTAATTTTTCTCTTTCTATCTATTTTTTGAGAAAAGGTCTTGCTATGTAGCCCAGGCTAGTCTAGAACTCAAGAGCCTCTTTCCTCAGCCTCCAGAGTCCTGGAAGTACAGGCATGCACTACCAGCCTGGCCCTTTTTTCTTCTCAATTACTGAAACAGTGATGCTCAAACTTCCAACTATGGTTATGAGGTTTTTAGTTCTTCTTATCTTTTATGAAGTATCTTGACAAGTATTTTTATTTAAAATTATATGCTTCACAAGATCTGGTTTCTGTTTTTATTGATTTTTTAAAATTTATACAACAGAGTTTATTGTGATGTTTCTGTACATGTATAGAAGGTACTTTGATCATGTTCACGGATTACTCTTTTTATCGGCCCTCCCCCTTTTTACCCTTCTTAATGTTTCATTTTTCTATTTTCATACACACAATAATATTCTTCAGTCATATCCCCCATCATCCTCCCCTTTCACCATTCCCCTCTTACTGTTTTTCCCTAAAATTGTCTCTTTTAGATTTATGCTCTTATTTTTGCTTTGTTTTGTTTTTCTAGCTCTAGGTTCCACATATGACAGAAAACATGTAGTATCTGCTTTTCTGAGTCTGGCTTATTTCACTTAACATGATGACCTCCAGTTCCATCCATTTCCCTGCAAATGACACAATTTCATCATTCTTTATGAATAAAAACTCTACTCTGTGTGTGTGTGTGTGTATATATATATATATATATGTGTATATATATATATCACATTTTCTTTATTCCTCAGTTGATGAACAACTAGGCTGATTCCATAGCTTAGCTATTGTGAACAGTACTGCTATAAACATGGGTGTGCAGGTGTCTCTATTGTTTGATGACTTACATAACTTTGGATATGTGTCCAGGGGTGGTACAGCAGGACCATGTGGTAATTGTCATTAGTTTTTTGAGGAACCTCCATACTGGTTTCGATAGCACCTGCACTAACTTACATACCCATCAGCATGTATGCAGGTTCCTTTTGCCTGCATCCTCTCCAGCATTCATTGTTTATTTTCTTGATGATAGCCAGTCTGACTTTTTTTGCAGTTGTAGGGATTGCACGCAGAGCCTCACCCATGCTAGGCAAGTGCTTTACCATTGAGCTGCACCCTAAACCCCAATTTTAAATGCATTTTAAAGTTCTGTTATTATGTACATATATATGTTACTATTATGCCTTCATTATTTTATTTTTTTTGTCATTACAAATTGCCCTTCTTATCTTTATTTTTTCCGTTTATTCATATGTGCATACAATGTTTGGGCAATTTCCCCCTCTCGCCCTCCCTACCCCTCACCCCCTCCCTCTCCCCTCATCCCATCACTTTCAGGCAGAAACTGTTCTGCCCTTATCTTTAATTTTGTTGAAGAGAGAGTATAAACAACAATAAGAAGGATAAAGGGTTTTTGCTAGTTGAGATAAGCATACCTATACAAGGGAGATTCCTAGCATTGCTTCCATGTACAAATGTGTTACATTCTAAGTTGATTCTTCTCAAACTGACCTTTTCACTGGTTCCTTGTCCCCTTCTCCTATTGGCCTCTGTCACTTTAAGGTTTCTTCATTAGCTCCTCTGCATTGGCCCTCCTTATCTTTAAAAATCTACTTTGTTGTGAATTTTAATTTGTTGGCTGTAACTGTTATCACATAAGCTTTCTTTTGCTTGCTTTTTGCATTTTTTGAACTTTAGCCTATCTTATTCTTATAATCAACTCATAGTAAAATCTTCCTTATTACCGAATATTGTAATCTCTGCCTTTTAAATGCTTAACTTATTTATGCTTTATGCTGTTATTATAAAATTGGGTTTAACTGTATCACTTTGGTGTTTGTTTCTGTTTGTCCTTTCTGTTACATGTACATTTTTCATCCTTTCCTTTTTTCCCCCACTCAGCATATCTCATGTGATATTCATTATCAACAGTGTCATTTCACATTCGTGCTAAAGTGGGTATCAGGACATCTTGTTCATACATTCCTTTGGAGAGACTTTGCAGTGACAATTAGATTTCTGCACCTGTAATTTTATTTCTCCTAATTTCTCTCAATTTTCTGTAGCAGAAATTCTGAAGGCATCTTAACTACTCAATTCCTTGTTCCTCTTTCTGTGATCCTTCATCTTCAGGTTTTGATGCTGAAATCAGTCTGACAAGCCAATGAACCAACAGGGACTTACACCGCAACCACAGACGTTTATATGTTCTCCTCATAGTGAGAACTAGAATTGGAGAGATTTCTGTTCATATAAAGAGAATATTCAACATTGAAAACCATGGTGTTTTGTCATTTTTAGTAATCCATTGGTATCATGACAGTTATATGTTTGCATGTGTTATTCACAATTCAGTACAATGACCATGCCTCTCATGTACCCGAATCAATATGATGTTCTGTTCTTTTTTTGGTGGTGATGGTAATGGGACTTGAACTCAGGACCTTGTACTTGCCAAGCAGGCACTCTACCACTGGAGCCATGCCTCCAGCCCAATTTGAGGTTCTTAACGTTATGAATTTCTTTGCTCCTGCACTTACCCAGAGAAAATCCTGGAAGCCACAGCTTCCTGGGTTGGAAATTTAACATACATCAAACAATTTGTCTGTATCTGTTTCTTCATTAAAATTTTTTGAATCTTATCAATTTGAAACTAATGCAAAGAAGATTTGTGATCATATTTTCATCTTAATATAAAGGACACTATTAGAGATTTCAGATCAGATTATTGGATAAATTAGCCATTATTCTAAGAATAAACAAGTGGAACCTGAAACAAATAATATGTTTATAAACCTATATGGAAAATTTATGTAGAAATTACACATATAAATTTGCATACTTATAAATACATATATATATACATATATATATATTCAGAAATAAAAAAAAGTTGAGTTAGGTCAAAGGTAAGGGTGCATTCCTCCTCTGAAAGGTTGTGATTCTATTTCTGCAACTTCAGCCTGGACAGAGCCTCCCTCAGAGCCTGGTGCACCTGCTTGTTGCGCAGGGTGTAGATGACAGGGTTCAGCAGGGGCGTCACCACCGTGTTCACAAGCGTGGCCTCTCTGTTGGAGTCCAGCCTGCTCCTTTGCCTTGGTTTCACATATATAAAGACACAGCTGCCATACATCAGAGAGAGGACGATGAGGTGAGACGAGCAGGTGGAAAAAGCTTTCTGCCGCTCCTTGGCTGATGGGAGACGCGTGATAGTGACTGCTATATTGCTGTATGCAATGATGGTGATGATGAGAGATGACAAAATGATAAGTGAAGTGAAACCAAAGGCCATCATTTCAGTAGATCTGGTGTCAGAACAAGAGAGATGGATCAGAGCACCAATATCACAGAAGAAGTGAGGGATGACATGGGGGCCACAAAATGATAACTGGGAAAGCATTATAACTGGAATCACCATGAAGAAGAATCCCAAAACTGAGCAGACAGTGACCAGGAGGAAACACACTCTCAGGTTCATGATGGTGGGGTAGTGCAGAGGTTTGCAAATGGCCAGGTACCGATCCAGGGATAACACAGCCATAAGGAAAAAAATTGTTGCCCCCAGGAAAAGAAAAACAAAGCTTTGTGTGAAGCAGGCAGCAAAGGATATTTTTTGCCTTCCTGACAGAAAGATAAACAGCAATTTAGGAATGACAGTTGATATAAAACAGCATTCCAAAAAAGAGAAACTGGTGAGCAAAAAGTACATAGGAGTGTGCAGGCGATGGTCAACCCAAGTGATGGTGATTATGAGTGTGCTTCCCGTGATGGAGGCCAAGTACGCAAGCAGGTGCACCAGCAATAGGACGCTCCCCAGGTGCTGGACAGCAGGAAAGCCCTCCAGGATGAATTCCTGGACTGCTGTCCTATTCCTTGATTCCTCCCTCACCAGCTTTTCCATTCCTTCAATCTGTCATTGAGCTATTCTGCAGCATCATTACTGAAGAATGAAGAACTTTATTTCATTGAACATAAAAAACAACCCAGACATCACAATTGATCCAGCTTATTACTTTAAAACTTTATATTTAATATTTTTGCTCATTGTTAAGTAAAAACAAGTTAGTTATATCTACAACTATCTTTACATTATATTTACAATACTAGGTAAATAAGAACTGTGCACATAGCTACCCATCTTTATGAAGTAGGTCATCTTAATAGATTAGTCATTTTCCTATACAGTTCATTGACAAGTTGGAAAAAAAGCCCCTTTAATTAAACTTTTAAAAAGTTCTTTCAATTATATATTTCGTCATGGAACACATTTCTAGTATGACGGCACTTACACCAGGCAACAAGATGAATATTGCAAAATGAAAAGTATTACTTAAAAAATAAAAGTGCAGCTAAAAAGACACTTATAGTCATGGAAGTCTGTCAGCCCTCACAAAAAAATATTCAGTCATCATACCTTAGGGTTTGTTTCCATATTTGGAGGGCATAATATTATTAGTAGCAAAACTTCCTGTCATCCCAACGGCAGTCCTCAGGCAAGAATCATATTAGAGGAGCCACAAGCCAACTCTACCTGGATTCATGGAAACTCAGCTTGGGTTGTGTTGATCCACAGCCTGAGATGTATCAGGAAAAGAGAGTGCCTTCCCTTATTCCCATGCTAAGTTGTTAGTCAGGGGAGAAATTCTATCTTCTGGCCTTCCTGGTTCTAATGTTTAAGGTTGCCTACCAGTATATAGAAAGAGGGACTGCATGACTTGATTCCTGTGATTATTTTCTGGTTCATTCTCTCTCTTATTATCTACCTAAGTAGAAAAAATTCTCTTTCTCCTTTTAGGTCCATAAAATTCTCTTATGTGAGCCAATGTCTTTATGATCCAGTAATGTTCATCTTGAATCTTTCAGCTAGCTATCTGATTTAGCCAAACCAATAAGCCCACTCTTTTCCGTGTGTGAGATCAGTTTCAGGAGAATCAGATTGCTTCAGTTTACAAGGAACAAATGACTTTATCCAGTCACATGAGGCCACACACTCACCCACAGGCAGCTTGTAGCAACCAAAGCTCTGTCCTCTGCTTTTTCACTCTTCCAAAACTTCAAGATGTTGGTCTGAGCAGCTAAAATCTAGGTAAATAAACTCTTCCATTTGAGATGCCCTTAATTTCTCCCAGAGAAAGTTTCAATACATCTCATGTCTGCTAATTGTCCTTCTTCACTGAATTTCCTTTCCAAATCTAGTATAAACCAAAGTGATGTCTCAGTGGAAATCTTGCCTGATGAAATCCTGGGAAAGAAAGAACAGCACACCTTTCCTCAGTGTTCTCCTGGAACTTCTAACTGAACTCCCTTGGAATTCCAAAAAAACTTTCATACCTTCCTTGCATCTCCAGGTCCCCCACACTTGATCCTGATCCTGCTCCTGCTTTTCTGCCCCAGCAGCAGCAGGAGGACCTATTTCTGGGCAAACACTGCAGATCAGGACAGGAGACAGCAGGTTCCTCACTCAACCAGGCCCTTTGTTCATAGATATTGTTCCTTTACAATGTATTCCAGAGCACTAGGTTTGCCACACATCTCCCCAACACCTTCCTAGACAGGAGGATACATACGTTACTGGAAACAAAAGTGAGAGTGATATGAATTTGCCCCAATATATGTTTTGTGACACCAATCAGGATCCACAGGACCAGTGAATTGCACCAAAACACAACAGGCATCATTAAAAGATCAAAAAAGCCATGGAGACCAATGTCCCTCTAGGGCCCCAGGTGGTTGCTAATTCAGCACTTCTGGAAATAATAACAATAAAGTTGTCAATAAACAACATAGTCTTTCATTTATATGAAGATACAATAATATGACTCCTAAATGTCTGAGTTGTCCTCCATGAAAACTTCTAAAAGTAGAGTACATGTAACACCCCCTCCCAGGATTTATAGTCCTGAACTGCATTGTGTTGCTAAGATGGGTTGACAAGTCAAGTGGGAACTGGCTTCCTAACAGGGAGAAATGAGGTGGAGCTACCATTTACTCTGCCAAAGCAATATCAGAGAAACTCAGGTAAATCATAAGGTTTAAGTAAGAGCTAGAGTTTCATGATACACAAAAGGTCCACTTTTAGTTGAAAATCGCTTGTCATACCAAGAATAAGGAAACTCTCTACTTGAGTTTTAAAAGAAAATTAATAAGGGTGAGGACATGGCTCAAGTGGTAGAGCACTTGCCTATCAAGAGCAAGCCCCAAGTTCAAACCCTAGTACCATAAATGAAAGATAACTAATAGACAAGCATCAAGATGACAGATATTGGAACTCCCTGGCAGAGTTTAAAGCAGTCATCATTAAAGTGCCTCAATGAATACAAACATATGGGAGCAACATTTTAAAACTAGAAAGTCTCAGTATTATATATAGAGAGAATATATAGTGTTTCAGCCAGAAGAACTAAATAAAAATGTTGGAACTGAAATTTTAAAACTCAATTCATGGGCTAAAAAGCAGAAAAGAGAGGAAATCAATAAATCAGATAGTAGGGCAATAGGAAATGTCCAATCTGAGCAATAGAAAGAAAACAGACTTTTAGAAGTCAATAGAGCCTCAAGGACTTGTGGGATGACAACACAACATCTAGCATCACACTGAAGCCTGAAAAAAGGAGACGCAGGGCAGAGCTGTTCTCAAATTTAGAAATGACAGAACTTATAGATTCAAGAAGTTGGATCAACCTCAAATAGAACAAATTCAAAAAATCCCATGCAACACACATTGTAACCAAAAACAAAGAAAAGCATTGAAAGTAGCAAATGAGAAACAACACATTACCTATCCAAAAAAAATTCATGTGACTGGATTTCTCACCAATAGAATATAGGCCAGAAAGAAGCTGCACAATGTCTTCCAAGCAATGAAGAAAAGAAGTGTCAGTTTATAGAATTCAATGTGCCAATCCCCACATATAGTGAAAATATGATTCAGGAATAAAGAGGAAATGAAACATTCTCAGGTGAAGGAAAGTAAAAATACATCACCAGCGTATCAATAATAAAAGAATGACAAAAGGAAGTTTTCAAAACAGAAAGGAAGTGATATCTATAGTCACTAAAAATGCTATTCAAGCAGGTATATTCAGAAGTACTACAGGTAAATCAAGATAGAAAAATTTTAAATGTTAAGATACCACACATGAAGGCTAGGAAACAAAAATAGAGATATGAAAACCAGGAAAATAGAAAAGAAAAAAAGACACCAAAAATTACATGTTTACATTAAATGTGAATGGTCTAGTTACACCAACTTAAAAGGCTGATAAAGTAGGTTTAAAAACATGGCACAACTCTGTAATAGCTACAAACACAGTAAGTATACAGACACAGGCAGTTTGAAAGTAAAAATGCACAAAAATATGTAAAGATGATGGATGTAGCTCTACATTGATAAGATCCTTTCTTCTCTCTGGTTTTTATTTATTTCTTATTCTTTTTTATTATAATATTGTTGTTGTATTGGGTACATTGTGGCATTTACAAAGGTTCTTACAATATTTCATAGTTGAATTCACCCCCACCATCATTCTCCTTTATCCCCTCCTTCCGTTCTTAGAATAATTTCAACAGATCTCATTTTCATACATGAGTACATAATATTTCTACCATATTCACTTTTCTACACCCTTTCCTTGTATCCTCTCCTCCACTGGTACCAATTTCCAGATAGGATCTGTTTTTCCTTCTTGTGCTCCATTTTTTATTAGGATCCTTTATGGAAATGTTCTATATCTGGCCTCTTTCAGTGTGGACATCCTGGGTGTGAAATGGTACTATAGTTTTAAAAGACACTGCTTTTGGGGGATATGGGATCATTATTAATGTAAACATACAAATACATATTTTATCTCAAAACAAATTTTTAATTCTAAAAATCGTGATAATAAATAATGTGTTCATAATATAATTTACTGCATTTTCTCCTACCTTTTCTCTTTTGTTTTTACTGGAATGAAGGTGAATTAGTTCTGCATAACTCATAATACTTAAGAGCCCAGAAACCATCGTCTTCTAATGTATAAGTCAGCATCTTTGACTTCTGACATAGCAACTTGAACTTTAATGGCATAAAACAAAAAGAGTCTTCATTACTTTTACTTCACATGATTCTAAGACTTGACTGTGCTGAGCTAGATGGTTTCCACTCAAGGTTTCCCATAAAGTTGCAGTCAATATTGGTTGGGGCTAGGGTCACTCAAAGCCTTCCTCACTCACACGTCTGATGCCTGGGCTAGAAAAAACACAAAAACAGGCTCTGCCAGCATCTCTTGATCTCTGTGCAGCTTCTCTAGGTGATCTCAGCATGGTGGCTTCTCAAGCAGCTTGACGTGGCTCCAAAGCAAATTCTCTCTCTCTCTCTCTCTCTCTCTCTCTCTCTCTCTCTCTCTCTCTCTCTCTCTCTCCCTCTCTCTCTCCCTTCCTCACTCCCTCCCTCTCTTATCTCTGTCTCCCTCTGTCCTTCCTTTTTCCCTCCTTCCCTCTCTTTCTCATAGCTTTTTTATCACTCTCTCTCCTATCTGCCAGAAAGCCTCAAATTGCTTTTATTCCCTCACACAATAATTCCCTATTTCCATTCATTCCTTTCGGGTTTGTCTGTGGAAAGGCAGGAGAGAGAGGAGGTAGCCCAAGGAGGGCTATTGTGCTACATTGGACGGCTGTCCCCAGTTCTTTGCTCCTTCCCTGTTGCAATCACGTAGCATGTCCCTTACCACGTGCCATGCCACTGCACTGCCTGTGCTGGAGTAGGCAGAATGTGATTACTGCCCACCCCACTGATGTGGGGGTTTGATGTGATGTGTTTGCTTTGGCCAGTGGAATGACAGTGGACTTGACAAAAATGGAGGCCCTAAATGGACTTTCTTGGTTTGGCTTGGCTACTGCACTATTCCATCAGCCATGAGA